CACCCCACCCACCATTTTGAAGCACGATACACCCCGCGCACCCCCATTTTCCCCGGCAGCCGTGGGGGTTTTCGTGCCTCTCTTGTAAGCGTGTTTGGTTGCGAGCGAGCGACACCTCCCCGGGCCGCGGCAGCCGCGCACTTTCCCGCTCCGGCAGGCCGATTCCGAGAGCCGTTTTCGTCGCTCTGTCTCTCTCGCACTCATGGAGCGTGCCCTTTGGGTGCGAGAGAGACAGAGCGACGAAAACGACTCTCGGAATCAGTCTGCAGAAGCACCATCACCGGCACGACTATCGAACGGAGCAGCCGCTAATCGATTTCTTACAACTCGACGCGTCCTCCTTCACGTTTCATCGCTCTGTCTCTCTCGCGCCCCTACGGGTCGCCGCACGAGTGCGAGAGAGACAGAGCGTCGAACCCGCGCTACTTTCGGCAGCAAACCCGCTTCGCTGCGTGCGCCAGAACACAGGGAACTTGCCCTGCTTTCACTGTGATCCTGGAGGGTCCAACACTTTGCTGAACGCTATAAAAACTCAAACCACTCTCCTTGAAACAATGGACAAGAGGTTTTAAAACTTTATGAATAAGCTTACACTTGATGTGGTGCTCTGTTATGTGTTTGATGAAGTCCGCCCCTTTTCGTCAACGCCACTTCACACCACGCCGGGGCTTTCAGTCTGCGGCAGCAGCCTTCAGCACACACACCGACACACCCACACTTTTTCGAGTGAACTGAAAACAGCGCGAGCAAGCAGGCCAAAGCGGGCCAGCCAGCGGCAGGGAGCACACAGTGGGCCAGAGGACCGCCGGAGGCGGCCAAAATTCTAGACGCGATTCCGAGCTCCAGAGTCGCTAAATCGGACTCGAACCGAACGTGTGACCCCACCAATGGATTGCTCTCCGAACGAGGAATCCATCGGTGGGGTCACACGTTCGGTTCGAGTCCTGTTTAGCGACTCTGGAGCTCAAAACACGTCTGGAGTTTTCCCCGCCTCCACCGCTCTTCTGGCCCACTGTGGAGCGGTGCAGGGCGGCCGCTGAAACGCGCCGAGTGTCACCAAGCCCTTGAGCGCCTGCCGTCCCCGCCCGGCCCTTGCAGCGGCCCTTCCAGCGGCAGCAGGAGAAGCGCGCGCCCTTCCAGCAGGTCCTCGAGGCCCTGGAGGAGATGAAGAGCTGAAGAGCCGCGCACATCATGTCGTTACAGCCGCGGCAGAGGCGGGCGGAGCGGAGCCATGGCTCCGGGCGGGGCCGCGGTGACTTGATGAGGACCACGGGCTGGCGCCTCGGCGGCCCCGCCCCGCCCCGCCCCCAGAGTCTCTGTCTCTCTGCGCAGCCGCGTGTTTTCCCTGCAAACAGAATTGAAATCGCTTTACGCGGGGAGAGCGCGGCGCGGCGGCGCGGCGGCGCGGCCTGGGTGCCGGCGTGGCCGCGGGCGGCAAGCTCCGCGTTGGAAGGGGTGGCCGCCCCGCCCCGCCGCGCCCCGCCCGCCCCGCCCCGCCCCGCCCCGAGCTGCCGCGCCCTCCGGCCGAGGACGTATGAAGGTATTTGCCGAGCGGATCGGCCAACAACGCGACGACGACGCAGGGCACGCAGGAGGGCACGCAGCAAAGGCCCAAACTTGAGTTTTATTTATTTGAGCAGCAACTCGGATGACGAGGCCGTGGCGGCGAGGCCGAGGCCGCCGGGGGTGTGTGTGCCTCACTGTGCAGACTGATTCCGAGAGTCGTTTTCGTCGCTCTGTCTCTCTCGCACCTATACGGGACGTCCCATGAGTGCGAGAGAGACAGGGCGACGAAAAGGACTTTCGGAGCGCAGGCGCGGGCGGCGACGGCGGACAGGGGCAGTGCTTTCCCGGCCATCACCGGGGCACGCTGTTTCTCCCTGAGGTTTCACCTGGATTCCAAACTCCCCTGCGGCCTGAAGCCTGAAGTGAAACTCTCCAGGAACAACCAGCGGGTAGCGGCGGTGCCGCGGTCAAAGTAGAAATCAACTTCGGCCGTGAACATGGCGTGCAAAAATGACCGCCACACTGAACAGTGGGCCGGAGGAGGTGGTCAAAACCCCGGACGTGTTTTGATCTCCTGAATCGCTTAAGCACGACTCGAACCGAGCGTGTGACTCCACCAATAGATTGCTCGTTCGGAGAGCAATCCATTGGTGAGGTCAAACGTTCGGTTCGAGTCCCATTTTAGCGATTCTGGAGCTCAAAACTTGTCCGGGGTTTTGACCACCTCCTCCGGTCTTCTGGCCCACTGTGCTCTGGTACCCCGCGGCGTGCACTCTAGAATGCGCTCCACCCTTCATCCCACCTGACAGTGTAGCTCGATGACACTGGCCGTCGCCTTCATAAAAAGCGGCGGGCGATCGCTTCGGCGACGCGTTCGCAGTGCCGTGGACGTCCACGCGCCACCCCGGGGCGTCTTATCGGCGAGGGAGATCGTGTCGTGGGTGCCGCGCGTCGCGCCGTCTCTCTCGCACCCCTTCGGCCCACGGCGCTCCCCGCGAGTGCGAGGGAGACAGAGAGAGCGCCGTTCGGAGCGCACCCGCTGCACAGTGGGCCAGAAGCCGGTGGAGGCGGCCAAAACTCTGGACGCGTTTTGAGCTCCAGAGTCGCTAAGCAGGACTCGAACCGAACGTGTGACCCCACCAATGGATTGCTCTCCAAACGAGGAATCCATTGGTGGGGTCACACGTTCGGTTCGAGTCCCATTTAGCGACTCTGGAGCTCAAAACGCGTCTAGAGTTTTGGCCGCCTCCACCGGCTTCTGGCCCACTGTGCGCTGGTGGCCGCTCCCAGGCGAGGCGGCAGAGCGCGAACTCGACAGAGAGACTCACTCGATCGACGGCGTCCGCGCGGCGTGGCGTTTGCCGCTCGCGCTGCCCGCCGAAGTCCGTCTCTGTCGCACTCGCGGGGCTCACCGCGGGGGTGCGAGAGCGACGGCGCGACCGAACGCCGAGCTGAATGAGCCTGCTGGTCCTCGCGGCCCGGCCGGCGGCCCAGAGAGAGAGAGAGAGGCTCCGTGTTGACTTAGCTGGTTGTAATCTGTGGCGCCGCCGCCCGGCTTGCCGCCCGGCTTGCCGCCCCTCGCAGCCTTTGTGACTATTATCGGGCGGCTTGATTGCGGAACAGGCATGTCACGTGACGAGGCAGATGAGGCGGCCGGCAAACAGCGCACAGTGGGCCAGAAGACCGGTGGAGGCGGCCAACACTCTAGACGCGTTTTGTCCTCCAGAGTCGCTAAATGGGACTCGAACCGAACGTGTGATCCCACCAATGGATTGCTCTCACGAGGAATCCATTGGTGGGGTCACACGCTCGGTTCGAGCCCTGTTTTTTTTTTAGCGACTCTGGAGCTCAAAACGCGTCTAGAGTTTTGGCCGCCTCCGCCGGTCTTCTGGCCCACTGTGCAGCGACGCGGCGACGCGGTGGGAAGTGGAGCCAGAGCGGCAGAGCGGCAAAGCGGCTTAGCTCGGCCCTGTTTTGTTTCAATTTCGCGACGCGGAGTTCGCCGTCAAAGCCAATATGTCAGTGCCGTGGCCGAAGCCGAAGGCCCGAAGCACAAGCGCCGGAGGTTTCGCTTCGGCGAGGGACACGACTTTTTTCACAGCTATGCAATTTCGGTCCGTTTGCTGCGAATATCCCCCCCAGCAGAGGTTTTCCCGCGCTTCGGAAATTTGGAATTTTTTCGAAACCACCTTCTATGGATACTTCGGCGTGACTTGGCAACAAGCACAAAGCACACAAGGTTCAGTTCAAGGTTCGGGGCAAACGCTGACAACCACGTGACTCACCTGGAACAGCAGTCTTCGACTCGACGGGCAGCAACGACGCGGCGGGTCGCGCTGCGCAGCACACTGATTCCGAGAGTCGTTTTCGTTGCTCTGTCTCTCTCGCACTCACGTGGGCGTGCCGTGTGTACGTGCGAGAGCGACAGAGTGACGAAAACGACTCTCGGAATGAGTCTGCTGCGCCAAGAGAGAGCGCCGCCGCCCTGCACTGCTTGAGGGGCTTCGCCTGCTTCGCCTCACGGGGGGGCAGGTCTACGGCTTCTCGCAAGGCGCTGTGTATACCTACTGCTATGTAAACTCACGAGAGACTTAAGGGGCGCCACCGCACACAGGACACGCGGCCGGTAAACTAGGGCAAGCCCTGTCTTGTCCGGCTTTCATTTTTTCGTCTCAGTTGTTTTAAAGGTGATGCTTGAACCGTTTGATAGTCTACCTTCTTGGTTCATGTGAAATCGTAGTTTTACAAAACTCATTCACCACACTACGTCATCAATTTGATTGAGCTGGGTTGCGACTGACTTTTCGTGAGTTTAATTGAATTTATTTAACTCAATTCATTGTCTATATATTGCCATGTTTGTGCATAGCTGTGTCCATACAATTTCATACATAAATTTGAGACAATATTTCCGTCTTTAGAAAATCGTATCTAAATTATGCCCAAATTTGTACATAGCTTACGCCTACACAAATACTGCGTCATCGCCTGTGTGCAAAAAGTCCAAAGCATTTACCTAGTGGCAGATCCCCTCCCAGGCACCACGTGGGGGATAATTGCTCCACCTTTCCTCTCTCCCTTCGATCCGACGTGCACGAAGCGGCCGACATTGGTTGTCAAAATAATAGATCGGAAACGGAAACAGAGATAAGCTTGGGGATCGTGCTCGCTCGGCTGGAAGCGCAAGGGGCTGGCAAGCCCGCACACAAACACTCTGTGTCCTGCTGAGTGAGGGTATAAATGCTCTGACCTTCATTTATTGGCCGGAACGCAAAGAGATCATGGTGACCGGAGCTTTGCAACGGTTTGAGCCTGCGAGTTTAAGTTCCCTGTTTTCGGTTCTGTGTGTGAGCTCTCCATGCTAGGTTGATTTATACTGTTTACTTTCTTTTCGTCATTTTTTTTTTTGCTTCAGTTTCTTTCTTTTTTTTTCATTTTTAAAGAATCTTTTTTGAATGGTTTGTATGTGCATTCCGGGGTGAAAGAGGACACAATTTAGAAATGGAAACAATTCATTTATTACGCTAATAATGTTTTCGTTTCTCCTATATATAATTCCATATACATTTAATATTTACAAGAATATACATAATTTGTATTTTAACGGTGGATCTTACATTCGTACACAAATATATGATTCGTTTCTTTAACTAATTCTGACTGAGTTGATTTCTGTCAAAGAAAGATCTAGAGTGGTGGAAACGTTACAATTTTAATCTGAAGATGTCTTAAGGGGATTACACACGGGAAATGGAAGAGAATTTTTTTGAGACGAAATACACGTTATTGCATTCAACAACGACTAACCAATTAAATTTACCTTGTTCCGGGGCCGAAAGCAAACAAAGCAAATACAACATTCTCTTTCAGATACGAGGTCAAATTCCGAGCCATGACTTACAATAAGATCCATCAGATAATAAATTATGAGTATAATCAACATTCTTTGACAATATCTTTGGTCACAACGGGCGGCGTAACACCATGGATCGATCACATAGAAAAACAATACAACACCGCACTGCTACTGCTCTAAGAAAAGAAGACGAAGCACACGCGCTTGAAAATAAAGAGGGAAGGAAACGAAAACAGTATTAAGTAAAGGTAACATAAACTAATAAAAACATAGGAACCTCACATTCAATGCGCAGGGCGCAAGGACAACAACATTAACAGAAATGATATAGTAAAATCACAGAGAATTAACGTATATTTAAGTAATAAATACAATCACTCCCAGCAGTCACTATGAGTTCAGGAGAGTTTCAGCATTTTTCGTATCTCCACGGACTTGTCGCCCCACTTATGAACCCGGGTGCGGCGGGCAGATGTGCGTTAGCTTCGAGTAACGACGTCAATAACAACAACTACAAGCGGACTCCCTTCGCGGAAGCAAACTAAAAATAAATAATAAAAACACGGCTAATACTCGGAGGAAAAAGTTCTCTAACACGGCGGACGGGCCGTTGTCACTCGATAAAGAACGAATCGTCGAGATCCCATGGGATGCATCACAGTCAAAGTCGACCCCTCAGCCCTCCGGGACCATCCGGGACCTGACGCGCGGCCGGGCGGCCGGGCAGTCTCACCGGGCCCAGGCCGACACGGACATGGGCGAGAAGGCCGAGTCCAAGGACCTCGTCACGGCGGGCATGTGGTGGTGGTGGTGCTGCAGCGGCCCCGCGCCCACCCGCTCGGCGAGCACGCGCTCCAGGGCGGGCCGCTTGTGGGGCGGCGGCACCAGGGCGTCGTGCTGGCCGTGCTGGCCGTGCGTCGAGGTGCCGATCAGGGACTCGATGCTGAAGCCGCGGCCCTTGTCCTTGGAGGAGATGGTCCTGGGCAGCGTCGTCAGCGACGTGCTCAGCGACTCGGCCATGCTGACGGCGGGCGGTGCGGGCGGCGCGGGCGGCGCGGACACGGCCACCGGCTTGTGCGGCAGCGTCATCGGCGGGCCCAGGAAGTTGAGGCCGAGAGACAGGCGCGCCAGTTCGGCGGGGGGCAGCAGGGGCACGCCGCCGGCCAGGCCGCCGGGGAGCCCCGCGCCCAGCCCGGACGGCGGCAGCGGCGACAGGTAGGGGTAGGGCGGGTGCCCCGCGGGCGGCCGGCCCAGCGCGGGGTGGTGGTGCGGGTGGAACGGGTCCAGGAAGGCCGCCATGGCCGCGGCGTGCTGGTGGTGGTGATGGTGGAAGTCGGGCGGCTGCCGCTTGTAGCGCTTCCGGCGACGCAGGAAGCTGCCGTTGTCGAACATGTCCTCCGCCATGGGGTCCAGCGTCCAGTAGTTGCCCTTGCCCGGGTTGCCCGGCTCGCGGGGAATCTTGATGAAGCAGTCGTTGAGCGACAGGTTGTGGCGGATCGAGTTCTGCCAGGCGGGGAACTTGTCTCGGTAGTAGGGGAACCGCGACATGATGAACTCGCAGATGCCGCTCAGCGTGAGCTTCTTGTGCGGCGACTGCAAGATGGACATGGTGATGAGCGCGATGTACGAGTAAGGCGGTTTCACGAGCGCGGACGAAGACTTCTTGCCGCCCGAGTCCAGGTCGTGCGAGGCGTGGGAGGACGGCGACGGCGGCGGTGACCCGGCAGCCTCCTCGTCGCCCTCCTTGGGGCTGCGGGGGCTGTGGGGGCTGCGCGGGCTGCGGGGGCTGCCGGGGCTGCCCGCGCGCTGCTGGTGGTCCGACAGGGACGCGTCCTCGCGCCCGTCGTCCGAGTCCACGTTGATGTCCGACTCCTCTTCGCCCGCCGAATCGCCGGAGCCCAGGTGATCGCCCAGGTGGTCACCCAGGTGGTCACCCAGGTGATCTCCCAGGTGGTCGCCGAGGTGATCGCCCAGGTGGTGGCCGATGATGGGGCTCATGGCGGCGGGGCCCCGCAAGTCCAGGGGCTGGTGGTGGTGGTGGTGGTAGGGCCCGTGGCTGTCCGTCGTGCCAATGCGGTATCCGAGCAGCACCCGACCGCCCTCGTCCATAGCTAGACACATCGGGCTAACACACAACACTCACACTATGTCTTTGCGCGCAGGGCCAGCGTGTCGGGCACACCGTCTGAGCCGAACCGTCCGGGCCGTGCGAATGCGCGGTGCGCGGCGCACGAGGGTCTGTCTGAGACTGAGAGAGGCTGCAGGCTGCAGCCGCGGCGCAGCCAGGCAGGAGCGCGCTCCCAAACGCCGCGCCGCCCGGGCCGCCAGCGCTCCGCCAGCCTCGCCCCTCCACCGCGCGGTGGGCGGGGCCAAGCCGCGGCAGAGCATGGCCCAGGCCAGGGCCAGCACCGGGACCGCGGCCGCGCGCTGTGATTGGCGGCGAGGTCGTGGAGGGGGAGCAGCCCCGGCAGCAGCCCTGGCCGCCCCGCCGCCAGCCATGGCGGCACGGCGCGGAGCGCGCGCCGCGCAAACCTCCGCATAGTACATTTGGCGAATTTGCTTGCCTTGGAGCGTCGCGGCGCGACCGTCGGCCCCACCTCTATCTCAACTCCTAGCTCAGCGGGCTCAGCTTCCCTTCCACCGCCACTGTTATTTCGTCTCCCTTCCTTACCCCCAAGTACCTACAACAGAACGGTCTGCGCGCGCCGGTGTGTGTGTGTGTGTGTGTGTGTGTGTCTGTATGTGTCTGTGTGCGTGTCTGTTGGTGTGTGTGTGTGTGTGTGTGTGTTGGTGTGTGTCTGTTGCTGTGTGAGTGTGTGTGAGTGTGCGCGTGAGTCTGCCAACAAAAGACTGGCTGGCTCAGTGCGGGACAATATTCACATCCCCGCACACACGCTCACCCCGCGCTACGCGCATACCCACACACGTGCACACGCACTCACACACACACAGGCGACACGTACGCTAAACCGTTTATGATGTAGGGACGTCATTGCATTGTGCCCTAGACACACGACGCAACGCGGAACCGAGCCCCGCCACCAGAGGGGGGATGCAGCCCCCTCCCCTTCCCCTCCCTTCGCCGCCCCTGGCTACACTTAGGTCTAGGTTGCACTGGGTGCACTACAGCTACTGTACCGTAGAGGCCACCAGGCCGATGGCTCGTCGGCGGCCGGCGTCCACGCGGCCCCTCCGCTCCGCCCGCAAGGCTCTCACCTCCCCGCCAGTCCACATTACTGTCTCTAGTCTCTTTGCACTGCCCTCACCACCACCACTGTCCAGAAACACTGTCCACCACTCTTGCTGCACTGCTTGCACACGACCTATCGCGGTGTCGTTGTCGTTGGGGGAACACAGTCTTTGGAGATGCACTGTTGCCTTTCACTTTCGCGACCCACGTCCATCATCAACACCACTATCATCATCAACATCAACATCATCATGGTGAACCCTGGGGAGAAAGTGCATAGACGTATAGAACAGGGCGGAGCGCGGATGCGCCAACCGGACTCAACGTCCGCCTGGTGCATCGACCCTCCACTGCAAGGACACGCACAAAAACAAACAACGATCAAACATATGAAGCATCAATCTGTCATTGGATAAGCAACTTCAAAACAGAAGCACACAAAAATAACACCAGAAAAGTATCAGGGCAATGATCTAATCACCACTCTGAACGAGGTCAACGCAACCGATGCAACTCGGATGACGAATAAATCGAACGAAATCGATTTCTTTTTTTTCTGTCGACTGACAGGCTGCTTCTTACGGAAAAAAGACAGAAGCGGCCCGTTCAGGACATCGAGCAGGAAGCTCGATATCCGACCAACTAAGCACATCTTGTCGTTAACGGCCGAGCGATTCAAGAGAGCGGTTCTTTCGCTCTGTCTCTCTCGCACCTCTACGGAGAGCCCCAAGAGTGCGACAGAAACAGAGAGAGTTTCTTCTGAATCGGTCGGTGGCAGCAATACTTTCCACGACTGCATGCACGATTGTCGACGAGGCGGGTGGTGCGTCAATTATAAAGCGTCTCTCGTGCTGCCACCGCAAGCGCCAGTGTCGCCACGACAGTCACGTTAGAGCGGCCAGCGCAGCGCGCCCAGAAAAATGGTCTATTGTTGATTTTTAATTTTCTTGGTTTTTATAGAGAAAAAGGTCTTGACACAAGAAATTTTTCTTCATGCGAGAAAAAAAAACACTTTGGACAAAGAAAATTTTTATTTAAAAAAAAACAGGAAAGTTAATTTTTTTGAGATCCAAGTAGTCAGTTTTTTGGGTGCACTTGTGGAGAAATAGTCATAATATTATCACCCCCCAAAATAATAAGTTGTTTGAGCCAGCAAATTTTTTCCCTGCTTCTTTTTTTTCTTATTTTTTCCCTTTTTTTCCCTTTATGCGCTTCTAGTGCAGCAGCCTCTTTGTGGCGCGCCAGCGCGGCACGTGGGGCCTCAAAATCTTTCCCATTTCGGGACGCGCACGAACGGCACTGAAATAAAAGTCGTCCAAATTCGCCCCATCGGCCATCCGGCGGCCTTCCGGCCGGCCTCCCTTGTCGGGGACATAAAAACCTAATATGGCTGTTTACTATCTGGGCAAAGCTCGCTTCCGAAAACGCTGACACAAGCAGGAAGAACCGACAACGTCGGGCGGAGGGGGAAGGAAAGGCCACTAGAGAGAGGCTCTCTCTCTCTCTCTCTCTCTCTCTCTCTCTCTCTCTCTCTCTCTCTCTCTCTCTCTCTCTCTCTCTCCTGCGGCCCTCTGGCAAAAAGGGTCCCCCTTTCCACGTGGCAAGAGTCACAGCGACATTTTGACTAGAATTATTATTGCACTTGAGTCTAAACAGGGAAACTTTTTCTCTTTTTTGTAGCGGAAAAATATTAAAAGACATTGATAACAAACATGCTTTTTTTAACATTGCAAACATAATTCCGTCCGCGTCATTAAGGCGGAGGCGGAGGAACTTGATGGCCAACACCGCTGTTATTAGACGAACACCATATTCGTTAGAATGTAATTTTCGTCAACATTCGTTTAAATTCGATGTCACATTCGTTTGAACGCGAATCAACACCCAGACGAACGTGACGAACAAAACTCACGTTTCAACGAAAACGAGGTCACATTCGTCGAATTACAGCGATGCGTTGGGACAATTCAACGGACGGCGCGGCATGCATTGGTATGGAAAATGACGCCGCTTCGTGGCTAATAGATGTGCGAAGCGCGCGCACGCAAACGGCCAGACCGCTCAATACACGCAGTGTTGTACGTGCCGCCGCTCGGCAGGCCCTCGGCAGGGAGCGCACAAAAGGACTCTCGACGCAATCGTGCAGCAGCGTGTGCCGAAACCAGCCGGGAAAAACGCGCCGCAAACTGGCTCACGTTTTACCAATGGCACAATTTGATCCGTTTTAAAAGAGGATGCGTATTTTGCACTGTTAAAAAATTTTGCTGAAAATTCAGACTTTTTTGACTGAAGTAAATATGCAGAACATCCTACTGAAAATTCAGACTAAATCCTGGTCTGAAATTTTCAGACTTAAACAAGTCTTAACATTTCAGGCAGGTCGTAGTCTGAAAAATTCAGACAAAATTGTCTTAATTATTATATTTTTTGTCTGAAAGAGGCAGCAGGAAATTTTCCCGTAACGCGGTGAAATGATAATGTTTGCATCCGAACCTCAAAGGAGAGACGTACTCCAAGGGACCGTCTAGGTAAAAAAGTTAGTGTAGGGAAGTGTCCTCGAAGCTGGACTCTTCCCTGCACTCATCTGGAGCTGGCCTGACGCACCCAAGGAAACGACGGCACGGAGCCACCCGCGAGAGGTAACTTCAAATGTCAATTGTTAAACTCGCGCGTTTGCTACAGATATAAATTTGGCATGGGAGCGTGTGTTTCGTCATAGCCAATAGAGTGATACCCATTTCGGGTTTCAAATATTTAAAATTTAACAGAAAAAAAAGTTTTTAACAACAGCAGGCTCTTTACCGACACTGGCGCCACCTAGCGGAGAGAAAAATGCTTTCGTTTTGTCCGAAGTCCCCGAAACTGAGTCGGATTAAATTGAATGTAAGACTGATTGTGAGTTAACCCAATGTTAGGTTGAAGAAAAGTTGTCCAATTTTCTCTTATGTTAAAACATATTTCAGAAAGTATTCTGAATTCGAAATTCAGACTCTTGAGGTCTGAGAAGTCTGACGCCAGTTTGTATGAATTTTGAGAATGAGTACAAATATTAAGACACTTCGAGTCTGAACCAAGCTTTCAGACAAAGCGTTTAAGAACTAAGACAAAAACTCTGATTTTTCAGAATTAAGTCTGGTTTACAGATTCAGACCGCTAAGTCTAACAAAATTGGTCTGAATTTTCAGAATTTTTTTAACAGTGTGAGGTTGTTCACAGTGCCGAAAGAACATGTAGGTACAGGACTTTCACATGACAGTCGATACTTATTCTGGGTTTGTCTCTTCAGGCTTTACGATGCATACTAAATCATCCTGGAACTTCACTACTCACTTAGTTACTTTGCAGGTTTTTTTTACATAGCTTTGAACGAGATTGGGCGCACGTTTTGAAATGCACGAATTTGTGCGTAGCAAAGCCCGAAATGAGCTATGTTGTGCACCATCTTTTGCGTTGACGCGCTCAAATCAGTGCATTTGACGCATATTCTCAATGTCCGTGCAAAGGTTCGCACAAAAACAGCAATGCATAGTAAATGAGTGTGTATGAAGACATGGAGGTCACTGCCCTTGGTCACACAGAAAACGACACGCATTGTCCAAGACATAGCAGTGACTGCAAAGTTATGTCACAGTAATCAAACTGAAATCAACTCCGCTGCAGCAACCCGCCCACCCAAGTGCACACAGAGGCCGGTGCCGCCGTGGCCGTCGTGCCCCTCTAGGCCCTCGCCCTGGAGCGGCGTCCGCAGCGCCGCGCCCGCTCCAGGGCGAGTCAACGCGACGGCCTTCGAGGGGTCCCCCAGGAGCACGGCAGCACCGGCCGGGCGGGCGGCACGGTCGGGCCAAACCTTTGCCGACGACAAGCACACTGGCAACAAAAGGCGGTGGCGGCGGAGACGGACTACAGGGAGCGCAGCGCTGCCTCGCCTGCCGGCCGTCCGGAGAGCACTAGCGCAGCACTAGTGCACTGCAGGGGCACCACACCGTCAGGGCGAGGCGCCGCGCGGCGGCCGGCTCATTCATTAAGCACACCTGTGCCGCCGCGGCAGTCGCTCTGTCTCTCTCGCACTCGCGGGGCCTCCCGTGTAGG